GCATTTGATTTCATTGAACGATGCCATTCTGCAGAAACTGTGATACTTAATAATATTTGACACGATTGTATTACGATTATTGCTCAAAATTGAAGGAACAATTGAAATATGCAATAATATACAGAAGGTTGCATTTAAAAAAAAACTTGATGTGCCACAAGTTTATTACGGGCCCTGTATACTTAAAGTTACTGCTTGCTAATAGACATTTAAAAACCCTATAACTTTTGTATTTCACTTTTTTTGCGGTACCTTGTATATTTTACTTAATAATCGACTGTTCTCATAGGTACATATCAGCGATATGTACCTGTATATTATAGAATCATAGATGTATTTATATCCAAAAACTCTATAAAACTTAAAATCTCTAAACAAATTCTCAATAAAATAAAACTTTTGTGTGTTGTGTTTGTTTTTTTGAAATTAAGTAAAATCTGGTTATAAACTGAAATAAAAATGGTATGCTTTACTACATTTCATGCAGGCAATCAACAGACAGTATATCATAAATTTAGCTAAATATGGTTGTTACAATTTCTATGTCACTCAGTATGTTTATTGTAAATTCAGATATTAAGGACAATATCAGGACATACATATGCATATAGTATATAGTTTTGGTGGATCCAACACTACCAACCCAAACCAACACAGCTTGATTTTTTTTATTATTTATGAAATTATGGATATTTATGAAATTTTATGTAAAGATTGTAATCAGAAATGTGTCGGGCAGACTAGAAGATCAATATTAACTAAATGTAAAGAATATGAAATGAACGAAATTCTTACAGCTTTAGTGTATATTAATAAATAATATTTTCTTGCCTTTAGCTGTGTATTTTTTCTAATTTCGAAAAATCGAAAGTAGAGAAAAAAAATAATAAAAAGTAAAAAGAAAATTGTTTTGCTTGCCGTAAAGGGGGGAACCAAGCTCACTCCACAAATCAGTTTCTGAGCTACCCTTCATCAATTGGGCTGCCCAGGGGTTGTTCACCGATACGCAAAGCAAAACTTATATCAAGAGACGATCGATGTATCGGTGATCTGATTTCATGTCCATAAGAGCGTTTTTCGGCCCGCTCAAATATATATGAAATGAACGTAGAGAAAAAAAATTTTCTCTACTTTCGATTTTTTGAAATTAGAAAAAATACACAGCTAAAGGCAAGAAAATATTATTTATTAATATACACTAAAGCTGTAAGAATTTCGTTCATTTCATATATATTTGAGCGGGCCGAAAAACGCTCTTTACCATCTTTTGACGGGAGATGCACTAATATCTCACCGACACTTTACGACATTGTCTGTTGATATAGAAGAAGTTTTGCTTGCCGTATCGGGGAGAACCAGCCCCTGGGCAGCCCACCTGATGAAGGGTAGGCCCAGAAACCGGTTGTGGGAGTGGAGCTTGGTTCCCCCCCTTACGACAAGCAAAACAATTTTCTTTTTACTTTTTATTATTTTTTTTCTCTACTTTCGATTTTTCGAAATTAGAACATTCGCTCAAAAACAAATTGTATTTTAAATTTCAATCTAGGGTGCCATGGCCGTGTTAAAAACACTAATTTTTAATCAAAGAGCCTTGGAAAAATAAATTTGATCATCTAATGTTTTAGTGTCTTGTCCAGGCCGGGTAAAAGATGCCAAATCGTATTTTTAATCACATCTCAATTTTTTCAAATGGAACGAAGGTGATTCGTTAGCATATTTGGAAAAAGCATTTTTTTACGAATAATTTGACACCACACACCTGGTATTTCGAGTCAAATTGTCGTTATGAACCGCAGGTTACAATTTCAAATAAACCATATATGCGAAAATGTCAAAAGTTGAAATATTATATATGATTCTATTCAGAGTGTCATTTTCTCTCGAATAAAGTAAAAAAATACCAAGGGTGCCATTTAAAAATCAAAAGTTGGAGTCATTTCCGATGAAACCGGAAGTGACCGAAAACAATTGAATATGTCAATCAATCCTAATTTATGTCATATATTAACATACCCGATCTCGTTGTTTTATCTGTAAAAATAAAAAAGTTATAGGAGTGAGCCACTTTTTAGACGCACCCTGTATAAACGCTCAATTTGTAGATATTAGTTTAATTCAAATCTTCTGCTGATGATGTTAACATAGTTGTGAATCCAGTACAAAAGAAAAAGTGTGTTTTTTTATTTTTTGGTGAACTAGAGTTATTATGTTGCTGTTGTAACACCAAAGGTTCAAATCCCCAACTGTAATTGATATTTTGATACTGAAACATAACAATAAATTTTTTACTTTAATATAATACCTTAGTTCTGGAATCGACTTCTCAGTAGTTGTTTAATCGTTAACAAGATTGCGTAAGCAACAAAAATACTTAATATTTTATGAGATAAAATTCGGAAATAAGCCGTCGCGCGTCGTGTCGCATCTATCATAAAGTTGATATAAAATTCTCTTCGCCTTCTAAATCTAAAAATTGAAATGTTTAATAAATCCAATAAGTTCTAAAGGTAAAAATATCCTACATTAAACGCAAAAGAACACGGTAAATCCTTTAAACAAATTAGAACGAACGAGTGAAAACAAAACGTGGCGTAAAAGTACGATCTTTGAGGACGGAAAATAGTCTCCTAATTAATTTTTAGTTTAATTAGAAGCCATTCCTACGCGGCGCCACTGAGCTTACGCTTGTTGGGGATTAAAATAAATGAGACGGTGTAGTGTTTGTTGGCAATTGCAGCTTTTGTTCGTCGCTTTCCACAATTAAATTTGCGTTTATTAAGTTTTAAGAGTGAAACCGATTGTTTTAAAACCCAATATAAATTGCTCTTTGGTCAAAACAGGGTCTTTTGTTTTAATTGTGCCATTATTGTTGCTTTGTATATGTTTCTTTCTAGTTATTAAGTGAATAGGAGGCAATTACTTTGATATATATTTTCCATATAAATGAAGTAAATCAATTTGTTCCCTTTTTAAAGCAGCCAAAAAACTCTCAAACAATGAAATCAAGTGATACTACCACACAAACGGATTTTGATTTTTAACAGTTTTTTCTTCTAAAACTGCAAAAGACCTTATCTTTTTATACCAACTAGAAACTTAAGAAGAATGTATTTTTCTCAAAAAGTTAATAATAAAAAAGTTTTTCTTCTATTTAAGTCAATCCGGAGGTATAGTGTAGAGGTTTTTCGGAATATGTCTATTTCAACTTATACAGGGTTGTTCACCACATACAACACGGAGTATTGTAGCTGAACGATTAGATTTTTACAAATTGTAAAAATATCAAAGTTGTATTTTTTAAATGGAACCCTGTATATTATTATATTTTTAGTTTCTACGATTTGGTACGAAAGGTAAATTTGATTAAGGTTAATCATACTTAAAACCTTGCCGTTTGGTTTGGTTATTAAAATATTTTCAAATTTGTGAAATTGCATTTTATGGCTTCTCCACCCTCCATTTCTCCAAAAGTATCAAAATTTTTGACATTAAATATTTACTGAAATTTATTTATTTTTATTTATTGATCAGTTATTGTGTTGCAATAATAAAAATAATACTACCTCATACAGAGTGTCTAAAAATTTATTTTAAATAATTTCTTACTTTAAACGGCAATAACTTGTTTAATTTAAATGGAACACCCTGTATATTTTAGGAGAATCAGTCCAATCAAATTGTATTATACCATTTTTTATCTAACTCTTCAAGTTTTCGTAGAAAATGCATTTTCTTATAATTATTGGAACCTCATTTATGAATATACAGATGGAATATTGACATTTTAGATTTTTTTAAAGAAAATATGTACAACATGTACAGGTGGTAAATATAATAATATTGAAAGCCCAAGTGTTTACAAAAAGAAAACTATTTAAATCTTTGAAAAGGAGTATACCAATTACATATACCACCATTATTTCCGCCCAAAAATTAGTTAATTATATACGTAATTAAAACAATTAATTAATAAATCATTCTAAATAAATACGGATTTGACTCAGAAATCAATAGAATAATAAATTATGAAAATGAACGTCTCTGAACGTGGTTATGAATAAACATTCGTCAAAAAATGAAATTAAATTTATAAGGTGTTACTTTTTACCACACTGTCTAATACACATACAAAATTCATTTTTTTAGTATTTGGAGCAATTATTATTAATCAACGTAAACAGTCAATTAATGTAGTTTGAATACTCGAACCATATTAATTGTTCCTCTTTAACAAAAAATATTTAAACAATTTTTTTTATTTTTTAAAGAAATAAGCGAACTATATCGAAACTACTCTTTGAAAATTTGTTACATCTTTGAAAATAAATAATCTAAAATGTCAATATTCCATGGGTATAGTGATAAATGGGGAATAAATTATAAGAAAATGCATTTTCTACGAAAACTTGAAGAGATAGGCAAAAATGGTATAATACAATTTCATAGACAATTAAATTGTGCATCTGATTCTCGTAAAGTATACAGGGTGTTCTATTTAAATTAAACAGGTTATTGCCGTTTAAATCTAGTAATTATTTCATATAAATGTTTAGACACTCTGTATAAGGTAGTATTCTGGTCAATAAATACACTTCAGTAAAATTTAATATTAAAAACTTTGATACCCTTGGAGAAATGAAGCCTTAAAATTTTTATTGCAATTTCATAAAATTGAAAATATTTAAAAAAACGGTAAGGTTTCAGTGTGATAAACCTTAATCAAATTTACCTTTATTTCAGTCGTAGAATCTAAAAATGAAATTATAATATATCGCGTGTTCCATTTAAAAAAAATCAACTATTATATTTCTTACTTACTTTGGGACACTCTGTATTTCGTAAGAATATTTTTAAATTGTAGCACTAATAGTCCTTCAACGAACCCAAAACTTAACATTTGTAAAAATCTAATCTTTAGCTATAATACTGCGTGTCGTATGTGGTGAACAACCCTGTATAATAAATACAATATTTTTAATACACTACCATATTTATAACAGGATCGGAGCTCCATATCTGATGCACAGAAGCCCGCCGCCGGGCAAGTCGCTCTACGGCAATGACAGATGGGAAGGATACGCCCTGGACCTAATGCAGGAAATATGTCACATTCTGAACTGCAGTTACACGTTCGAAGAAGTGCCCGACGGCAAATATGGAAACTATGATCCGGATAAGAAAGAATGGAACGGTCTTATTGGGCACTTGTTGAATAGAGTGAGTAGTCAATGTCACTGGCGGGTTTTATGCTGTCATAGTTAAGTTTATTATTTTTATTAACTTTCCATTTTGCTTTAAGTTCAGTTTATTAAAATAAAATACTAATATAATGTTTTAGTTTATTTACTATAATAAACTCAATGATGTACCACTAATCTATCTCAATAAATAAAACAAAGTGCGGTTAGTTACACCAAGAGTTTCATTGATCCGTTTCGTGAATCGGTACTTCGGTACGAAAACATGTAACGTTGGAACTTAAAACCGAGATAATTTCAAAAACATTGGTAGAATGGATATTTTCGTGCATTATTATTGTTTATATGGTATAGTATAGAGCCAGATTTTTGAATAATTCAGCAATTCAACCTTTGTGTGGCTAATCCTGCAATTAAAAATCTCCCTTAGTTGAAATTTTGCCAAAACGAAAGTGTGTTTTAACTAATAAAATGTTTAAAGTTTTCTGATCTATTAAAAAATAATCTAATTTTGTTTTCCTTTATATCTAGTATTAGCGCATGCAGCACAAATATCAGTACTGCTTAGAAAGTAAAAAAAAACTACTTAACACCTTTTCAACCACCTTATAATATCATCAGTAGGGTGGATCGTAAATCTCAAAATTTTAAAATTTTTAAAATATCGACTTGGAATACCTACGAAAAGTTGCCTTTGGTAATGTTGATAAAAAAGTGTTACTACAACTTTTTAATAAAATCACATCTTCTGCCCTCTACCAGCCCTCAAAAAAATGAATTTTTTTTTTGAAAAGTCGATTTGGAATACCTATCAAAAGTTACCTTTAGTAATGTTGATAAAAAAGTTTATTTAAAATTTTTTGATTAAATCACGTCTTCAATTTTTAACCGGCTGTTAAAAATTGAAAAAAAAAAGATTTTTTTTTCTTAATAGTCGATCTGGAATACCTACCAAAAGTTACCTTTGGTTATAATAATAAAAAAGTATTATAACAAATTTTTAATAAAATCACAACTTCTGCCGCAGTTTTAAGCAAAACTCCTCGGAAACTTTGAAGGTCATTTATATTGACGGAAGAAAAGATAAAACCTATGTTATTGAAAATTCCCACAGAAAAACTGTACTTGAAGAACATATTGCTTTAGTTCAGGAGCCGGGTTCTATATTTTTGCGTTACACAGTTCCCAGTTCTGGATCGGCTCTAACCATTTGTCAAAGTATTGTGACCTTCTTAGAAAGTAATGAATATCACCTAGAAGAACTGGTAGCAGTAGGATGTGACGGAACCGATTTACTTTCAATCTTACTAAGATTGGTCTGCCAGCTTCACGCTAATGAGTTACCTCTTAGGCATCTTTTTCAAAAGCTTGACGGTCAAACCCTAGGTCCAAGAGCTTTTGCAGGAACTATAGGAAATCAAATATAACAGTGCGCAAATATGCCAGTTGTGAACTATACCATTATTGACTGCGTGATTTACTAGCCGTGGATTTTCTTGAATTAAGTGCCGATCAGAAATATCTGTATGAAATTTGTGTTGCGGTTTCTACAGGTGAGTTCTCCGTAGATTTATTAAACCGAAGCCCAGGAAAGTTAAGTCATTCTCGATGACTCATTTTGGCTAATCGCACCTTACGTCTTTATGTTAGTACCGAAAATCCAACATTACAATTAAAAGAACTGTCCAAATTTATTGTCAAGATTTATGCTCCTTTATGGTTTCAAATTAAATGCAACTCTTCATGTGTAAATCTTCTGCTATGTATGCTGCATGACACTCGCCCCATATAAGAGAGCTTGTACTTCGCCGCATTCTAAATGCAAAAACTCAAGACCTTTTATCATCCCACAAATTAATTTTATTGACTCAGATGACTATGCTGATCTAATTGATTGGCCAAAAATGAAATAACTTGTCCCCCATTGCTCAAAACTTTGGAAGTAGATGATTTCAAAAACATGATTTTTAGTTCTTCTGAAACAATCATGGACATCGCTGCATTTCCCTGTCACACTCAATCAGTAGAGAGATACGTAAAACTTGTAACCGAAGCATCTTTATCAGTTGTAGGCATACAAAAGGTAGACAGTTGACAGTTTTATAAAGACAAAAATAAATTCGCGCAAACTTATGCCCCAATTTTAGTAAAAGAAAAATACTACAATCAATAAGTGAGCAAAAATAAATGGGTGAGGGAGTGTGGGATGGAACTCGCCGAGCAGTTACCTCCCCGTGGTGAGTTCTGGGTTGTTTAACAATAGTGAACACATAAAATATTTGTTAAACAAGCGAAAAACGGCTGTAAGTGCTCTGCTCAAAACATTTTTACTCTTTGTTAAAGTGTGCAAATATTTGGGTATTTATAAAAAAATGGTTTGACCTTGGTACATAGGGTACACTGAGTAGGGGGATTAAAATATCATATTTCAATAAGATATATTATTTCTAATTACAAAAGTTACTTATTACCTGAAATTTTGGCTAAAAATAAAAATTTTATATTTTTGTATTTTTTACTTTTTTTCAAGTCCGGTAAAGGGCAGAAGATGAAAAAAAATTGAAAAACTATAAATAGATATTAGTTTTCTAATACCAATTGGCAACTTTTGCGCAGTATTCCAAAACGTTTTTCAAAACTTTTTTTTTACGATTTTTCAACGATTTTTCGATTCACCCTAATCATCAGGTCGACATCCAAAAAAAATTACAAAAAATAAAATTTACCTGTGAAAATGGAAACCAGCTTGTCTGTGGTATTTTACTCCTAAAAAAATGCCATTTATAAAAAAAATTTCCACCCTAATAACATACTTCACTGCTGAATGTATTTTAGCTAAAAGTAGAATATTTCATTTGCTTGTCCATCAAAAATTAATACTTTATTCCCATAGCCAGATAAGTCCATGAGTTAGAGGTAATTATTCTTTGATTTTCCATTGCCCGTTTCCGGCAGATAATCCCATTCCCCAAGGAGTTTTCAGACGTGGTTTGTTTTATGGCGTAATTATTTCTCGGATTGAAATTTAAAACGCCCGGTAAAGTTCGTTCCTTCGACCTGTTCTATTGCGTGAATAATTTAACAGTTCCAAAATGAGAATACGAAGAAGAAAGTAAATTGAAGGGAAGAAAAGTTTGCGTTGTTTTCAGTAAAGCAAAATCCAATCTAGTTCACTACTCGTAATATATCGTAAAGCCGTTAAGAGTAATGGGTACCTTTATGTAAATTCGTATTATTACACTGAACTGCAAAATAGTTATAGACTGTCCAACGACAAGATTATTTTGACAGCCGGCATTTCAGCAGCCGACTATTTTTAATAAAATAAAAACACTTTAAATACCTAGGTCGACTCAGCTTTAAATGAGTACTTGGGATTCACAACCCTGAGGTAATAATAGGCGGTTGAAGCGTAGTGCTAGGCACATTACCTTCCTTGTATACCGAACGGCTCTAGTATGGCAAGCTGTACCTTGCTACTCCCAAGGCGTTAAAGAATATATACTAGGATATACAGACCGGACCACCGTAGTAGTAACATAGGCAGAACCGGACGAATTAGCGTATACCCGTCCGCCGGATAAAAAGCAGGCGAAAAAATGTGATAAAATAAAAATAGGTAGATATGTGATAAGAATGTTTCAGAATTTGTATTTATTCGTGTTTTAATAGCCAAAATGAATACATAGATTCTCGCGACAGTTCTCGTGTAAAATTTATTTTTTAAGTAAAATAATGCATGTTTACGAAGTTCGTGAGAAAACTCAAATTGTAAAATGCTATTTCCAAAATAGGTCTTATCGGAATATACAAACAATTTTTCCACAAACTTTTGTAAACAGGCCAATTCCATCTTTACCTACTGTATCAAGAGTTATTAATAATTTTGAAACACATGGGTGCGTGTTCCCACAAAAACACAAAAAGCCTGATGTGTTGATTAATGAAGAACAGGAGTTAAAGCAAGTGTTCATTTGTGCTACCGCGGATCAAAATCCCACGTTTTCAAGTAATCAAATTGCTGATGTGGTTGCCCTGCCGACAATGCCCGTATTGTTCAAGAATATTTGAACAATACTTTTCCCAACCGTTTAATTAGTGGATATGGAACTATTTTGTGGCCCGCTAGATCACCAGATCTTTCTCCCAATGACTTATTTTTGTGGGGTTGTGTAAAATCCAAAGTGTATGGTCATAATAGGGCCAATAATCTGGATGAGCTTCAAGTAAAAATACGAGCTTTCCAAACTATTAGCCCTAATATGTTAGCCAATGTCAGACGGGGATTTTACGACCGCCTAGGCTTCTGTCTAGCTCAAGAAGATGGTCTTTTTGAACACTTGTTATAATTTTTTCTTATTTAGAGTAATATTTTTTTTTTTTTTGGGGTTTAGAGAATTTATTTATTTTTAGTTTTGGCTTGTAAACACCTCAAATAATAAATATTTAAGTATTTTCATTTTAAATGTTACCTTCAGTGAAGGTAAACACTTAAAATGAAAATAATAAATACTCGGCACTCCTCGCGTCGTATTCCTAGTCTGTCACGACCAACCTGTCCAAGCACAACTGCAACTGCGTACTGCTTGACCAGGCGACTAGCCGGCTGAATCTGGAGTACGAACGCAAAACGGGTAAACGTAAATTCGTCCGGCAACTTGCTATGTTACTAGTAGCCTGGTCTTCTCTGTATATACTATACTAGGGAGCTATTATTATTAAAATTTGAATGACAAGTGTCTACTACAAAATATTGTGAAAATAAAACAGTATAAAACTGAAAAAAATTATTCGAGTTACTTTATTTAAAAAAATACGATATGTATTATTATGATAATATACGTAAAATTTCGATTATTAAAAATAAAGTTTTTTAATTACTATAGAATATCATATCGTGCAATTGCCAAGTCATTATAATTATTATAGCAATAAAGATGACTAATATTGATACTAACAATTTATAAAAAATTGTTGAATAGGTGCTTAAAGAGAGACTAAATAAAATAAACTGACTTG